TATATATATATCATATATCATATATATATATAAGGTCATATATATATATATATACTTATACATATATATATATATGTATGTGTGTATGTTCTGATTCTGCCTTTATCGACTGCGTTCGAGGCATGTACTGTGTGCAGCAAGGGGGAGCATTCGGGGCATAAAGGCAGACGCTTCGCTGCAGACACACACACACAGAAAGCAAGAGAGACAAACAGACAAACAGACAGACAAACGAACAAGGGTCAACCGCAAGATGCCCGAACAGACAGTGCAGCTGCAACAGGGAAGCACGATCTGCACACCCCGACTCGTCCTTTACGAGCTTGGCTTTGCTTCGGTATTCGGCACCAGCCATGCCCAGTCCCAGTCTTCGAAGCACTCCCAGAACTGAGTACGGTGTCCGTGGCAAAATGCAGGGATCCACTGCTTGCCCGCAGCCCGAAATCCCCGAACATTCAATCTCCAAAGCCTGAACCCTAAGCCCACAAATTTGGGTGCTACTGAACCCCGATGGGACCTGTAGAAATGCACCTCAACAAGTGACTACAACTCCTAAACTTCATATCCAAAGCACGAATCCCCAAAGGCCCTAAAATGCACACCGTTGACCAACCAGAACCCCTTGACAAACCATAAACGCCAACGCCCTTTCACGATCGCTAACTATTATTACCATTGTTACTACTATTAACACCTCCTTGATATGACTACTATGTTTGCAACGACTACTACTAGTACTGCTATTACCACGGTTACTATCGTTCAAGCTAAAGCGAGGCGGCGGCCGTCCCACAGGTCCCTCCTCTTACCCCCGGTTTAGGGTTTAGGGAGAATCTATAGAGTATGTATTAACATTCATATCAGCAGTTAAAGAAACAGAATGACATAGAATAGCTCTGATAGTCATAAGTAGGGAAGCTAGAGCCCAAGAACTACAACGCGGAACACGAGGTATCTTGAGATTACTCTCGGGGTGGTTCCCTGTTCTACGGTGATGATATAGGGGCCTTAATAATTAGAATAAGGTTTTGGCTTCCACTAGACTATAGTTATAATAAGGAACCCCCAAAACAGTATTGGTAATTGATTAGGCCCCTACATTCGGGCTTTGGGCTCGGGTTTGGGTTTGGGATTCCAAGCCCTGAGCTGGAATTGCCGGCCTCCGGTGGCGCCGTGGCCACCTGCAGCTTAGGAACCGCAAGAGCAGGGAGCCTTCAGAATAGCAGAGGCTTTTGAGGTAAATTTTGTTCTAAGTAAACAGGGACTATAGGAGGATAGTAACGGATAGTACTACTAAATATGCTAAAAAGCAGCCCGCACTCTGAGGAAAAGAACATAGCAGAACCCAGAAATTAATTGCAATCCTTTTTGTTGGATTGCTGGTCAGACTAGTATGCACCGTAACGTGCTGTAACATTACACCTCAATCAGCAGCGTTGCGCTGTCTGTCAGAACCTCGAGAATGAGCAATCGCATTCCCAGGGCAGGCTCGCTTCGGGAAACTTTCCACCGCCGCTTTCGTGTGCTAGCCGATCCCCATTCACCATGACTTTGAAGCATCGAACTGCTGTACACCACTAGCGTCAAGTCTGACGAAGCTCAACCCTCTGCGCCGTTCTCAGTTCTTTATCATGCAGGCAACTTACATGCTGAAAGAATCTACATGCATCAAGAACATAACTTGGGTGTTCCAAGTGGGAAATTGCAGTCACTGTACAACCGCCATTCTGTGTCGTTGGTGATTTGAACAAGGTCACCCAATCAAGCTTGACTATAGCGTGCAACAGGCATGACGATACCGGTGCCCGCAAATGCCGGGAAAAGCTGAACTTTGTGCTCATGCCTCAGACTACTGTGCTATTATTGTTTGGGTTGTTGGGTTAGGTCGCTAGATGACCGTGATGCAGCATATATCCCCAGACACTGAACCCTAAACACCGAGACATACGACCTTCAACACAATCCCTAGATACCATGACCACACGACCCTGAACGCCTCGAAGTGCGCTTTTTGCACGGGGGGTGCGGATCTTGGGAGCTGGGTTCGGGGCTTCCAAACGCTTTGATACCTGATGTGGTTGCTCCGCGCAGGGTTGTTTTATGCGACAGAGTTGCTATTGGGCTTGGGGGGTGCGGGTTTCCGGGTGTCGGGATTTATTGCTTGGTTTCCGGGGGTTTTCGGGGTTTTCTGCCTGGGCCTTTGCAGTTTCTGCTGAGAGCTGCTAAGCTATCGTGGCAGGGCTGGCTTGGCTGGGAAGGTTCGCTGCCAGATGTTCGGTTTAGGGTCTACCCATAGGCCCCATAGTAGTTCCTTTTTGGGGTTCCCTTATAGGGTTCTAAATGTGAACCCCAGAAAGGAACTACTTTAGGGCCTATGGGTGTAGGCTATGGGTTTTATCATAGTATCCTCCAGCATCCTATATTCCCTACAACAATTCGCTTTCCCGAGGCCTGTGGGCCTAGAAATTTCACTGTTGTAACAGGCAAGCAAATACCCAAATTTTGCAAAGCTTCGAGTTTAGGGTTTAGGGTTTAGGGTTTAGGGCCCTAAACCCTAAACCCTAACCCTAAGCCTTAGGGTTTAGAGCTTTACTTCAACTCTTCTCGGGCCTCTGTTTTCCCATTCGCGCCATTGCTGACTTCGGCGGTTACCTTCAAGCGACAGACTATGCACATGGGTAATTCTCTAAATTAGGGTCCCTGCTGATGGATCCCCGATATAGTACGGCACCCTTATAAAAAGGACCCTAAAAGGGACCCTAATTTAGAAAACTATGCACATGGGTTTCGTGCCTCACAACTGGAGACCCCGGTCCTCACATGTATAGAATACCAACACCATGGTCTTGTTAAGGAGCTTTGGTTTATAAAGTCCCATACGGTAAATAAAATGGTTTCCGGATTGCGGTATCTTAAATTATAGATCAAATTCCGTAACAAGAACCCGGTAAAATACCAATACATCATGCTGCAGCCACCAACAAGCACCCACCTTCGCATTGCCGTTCTTCAGCGGGTCGGCCTAGCAAGAGGAACACTGCACGCGATATGCGGCCACCTTAACAGCCACTTCCACCAGAGACCTGGAGCCTCTACGGAACCGGTTTAGGGTTTAGGGTTTAGGGTTTAGGGTTTAGGGAACCGTAGCCAGTAGGAAGCAGGTTTGACAACAATTCTATGACAGGTTCAGATACGCTGTCTAGGATAATCAAGTGCAACCCATGTCTTGGGTCCCCAACTGCGTGCCGTCAGCCAGAACTAGGAGCCCTGGAAACCTAAACCATTCAACCCGAGTTCCCAGATCCCAAATTGACCTTCGAAGCATCCTCTATGACAGCCTGGATAGCCAGCAAACCCCATGTAAGGCTACTTTGGTGGTCCACCTACAAAAAAGCTGGTTATGGCAGCTTAAGGTAGCCTGAACCCCAAACCGCGAACGCACATTAACTGATGGTTTCGGTAGAAGCTGCAGCCTAAGAACTCGGAAATCAGTTCCTGCCTCGATTTTGGGATCGCGTGGGAATGGTCCATAAAGTTTATAGAGTCTCTTAGGGATGTGCACACCGGAAAGCATGGAGCTCATATAGGTGATAGGTGCCTTAATAAGACTAGGGTTTTGGGGTCCTTTCTACCTCAAAATCATATAGGTAATTATTGAGGCCCCTATATTAGAGGTGAGACTTGACGCATTCCTGCCGCTGGGCGCGGGCTTAACATCGAGATCGGGGCTGCGGTCTTGAAGGGTCGAGGGTTTAGGGTTCAGGGTTTATAGGGCTTAGGGTTCAGGGTTTAGGGTTCAGGGTTCAGGGTTTAGGGTTTAGGGTTCAGGGCTTACGCCTTGGGGCCTTTAGACATGTTTGCCCTCAAATCGTGAGTCCTGAAGCCTAATTTCCCTGCGTCTCGAAGCCTCCGCCACCCTCCAACATCTCCTAAACCGCAGATCCTTATTGTAGGGGCCTAAAGCAATTACCTATACTATTTTAAGGGTTCCTTATTGTATTTATAGTATAATATACCCCAAAGCCCTCTTCTAATTATTAAGGCTCCTACATTATCTCCAAACCTCTGCTAGCCTGTGAGGCACCTCTCTTGTCTCTCTAGCGCATACGCTTGAATTTGTTTCTCCTCGGCCAGGTACTGTAATGTGCGTTGGTGCAAATTGCAGAAAAATCTTGGCAGCAAGCCTGGAGTGTTGGGGGTGGAGGGATCGGGTCCCCATCACTTTTCGATGACATGCATGGTTGGGTACTTCTTTTGTGTAGGTGCATTCGAAGTTGTCTAAACCCGACACCTCCCGAAAAGTTGCACGCGCCTCCTTGGTGGATTTCTCTGCCTTGGGCTTCTCAATGGTTTGGACGGCCTGCAACATAGCTTCCTACGGTTGCCATCTTACGAAAATGCTTCGCCCGAGACCCCCAGCCCGATGTTTGGAGCGGGGAGGGGGTCTAAGGTGTCGGGTTTACGTAACGGTATGGGGAAGTAATTATAATCCATACCCTTAAATTATCTCGATAACCACTACATTCCCCTGAAAGCCCTCTTCTAACCTGCATCAGCTTCCGAGGTGATCTCCTCTCTCGTCCGAGCAGGCATGGACGCGCAGGATACTGCCCGTCCGTGCAGAAAGAATTCAAAAGATGCACCAGAACTCCAATAAACTTTCTCCCAGCTAGGAAACAAGCAACAGTATTTCCTAACCAAGAAGGAATTGTTACCGACACGCATGGGTTGCACACAAACTGCAGTATTTCGAAGTTCTGTGGGTGTCGCAGAGCCTGTATTCTGCAATTATTGCAGACACTACAGTAGCTCCATGCGAAGAATTAGAATGCATGACCATTGACTTCATGCAATGCGTCATTGTCCTAAGCAAGTCTGACCCGGCGATACGGTTTCAAAAGTCCAAGACAAGTCCTCGTCCGCACCTTGGCCTGGAAGCCCAGTTGCGGATTGTATTCACATATGATTAGATGTCGTCTCAGGCTTGCCCGCACAGCTGCTTAAACTCCTCGAAAGACAATCCCGGCTTTCCATCCGACTGGTATTGCTGCATCAGCTCGTCAAGTTGCTGGGGAAACATCCAGACCCCATTCATCATGAGACACAGGCTGAGCTCTTGGAGGTCAATCGTACCGTTCTGGTTCACATCCTCATGTCATCGCCCTACGTACTGCCTATAACATGCACCTTGCAACCCGAAGCCCCTGTGCAAGCATTGGCACGTTTCGAGCTGTGGACACACACACACACACACCCGCGCGCAAACACACACGCGCGCGCGCACACCCACACGCACGCACGCGACAAGAGCTTTCTGGCCCAAGCCCGTGCATCCGGCCCAAACCGGTATCCTGAGCCCTGAACTCTCTTACGGAGGGTTCAGGGTTTTGGGGTTTGAGATGGTTTCAGGGTTTGGGGCGAAAAAAGCCTAAGCCTACGTACAAGATTCCGATAAACGGGCAGGAACACAGGGTTAAGGGTTTAGGGTCCCAGATTACACAACCGCACACAGGAACTTCGGAGCCTTCAATAAGATGCCACCCAGGCTCAAACTTGTCGAAGACCCGTTTGGCTTCCTTGTCAACATCAAACTCCTCCTCGGGATCAAAATCATCCTCTGCCATCTCAGGGAGGTCTTCCTCGAAGTCTACCACCTCCTTGCAATTGCGTCTCGGCAATCAATTCGTTTAGGTGTCCGGGTCGGGTTTAGGGTTTAGGATTTGGGTGTCGGGTTCAGGCTTTTGGTCTGGGGTTTGGGGCCGGGGGTTGAGCTTGCGGGCTACCTATGCTTGTGGATCGGGGCGTGCAGTGGGTTTTGAACTACAGTACTCCAGCTGTTTCTCCCGGATGTCCTGTGTGAGGACCTCTTGTCGGCTTCTGTCGTTCTTAAATGGGTAGTTCTCAAAATTAGGGTCCCTTTGGGGGTACCCTAA